TAGATGGAGCCATATTTTTCAACGATAGGGCCTAATCCATCTATACCAAGGTCGAATTCATTTTTTGGCGTCGGAGCTAGCTTTACTTATTCACGATGGAACCAAATTCATTTATATATGCCGGTGCGGAGTCATTGATTTACGCTCAGAGCTACCCCGACCCATTCATTCACGCCGAGGCTGGTCATCTCCTTACGACGTCTTAATATTTTGCTCGCTGTGGAGCCTCAACTCCGGCTTAGCCGACGTCTCCATTTTCTCGCCGGTGAGCCTTGACTCCGGCTGAGACGACGTCTCTATATTTTGCTCGCTGTGGAGCCTCAAATCCAGCTGAGCCGACGTCCTTATTTTCTCGTCGTTCAGACTAAACTCCAGCTGAGCTGGCGTCCATATTGCTCACCGTTGAGCCTCGACTCTGGCTGAGCCGATGTCCCTATTTTCTCGCCGTTGAGCCTCGACTCCGGCTGAGCTGACGTCCCTATTTTCTCACCGTTGAGCTTCGACTCCGGTTGAGCTGACGTCTATATTTTTCTACCGTCGAGCCTCTGCTCTGGCCGCAAAGCCGCAAAAAAAAAAACTATAATTAAAAAATCTGAGTAACGAAAAAAGAAAACTCGGTACTGAGTAACCAAAAAATTTAGCTGATGCCTTGTAAACATCTAAATCCCACGATGGATTTGGTGAGGTTGAAGCTTGTCCATTCGCCAAATCCGTAAAAAATGATTTGGCGGGCCCCATTTATAGCCAAGTACACTTAACTCGGTTGGGGCCGTTCTTTAATCAAACCGTGACGAAGTTTGGTGACCCTTTTGACTCTACCACAACACAAAAAAGTGGCGAGTTTCGCAAGTTCAAAACAACTTGCTTGTCAGTTTTCAATAATACCGACGTTTCTTCATATACAGTATTCCGACAAGGCACAATATCCACCGGCAGATAAAGTCAGACTCGACAAAATATCGAGGTATCCTTCTTTATCGCACATTAACATTTACAGCACATGCGCATTATGCATTTTCATGCTCATTAATGCATTCATACATTCTTCACATACGCGCATCGCATATGCATTCACCACATACGCGCATCAGACATACATCTTGACGTCCAAATTAAAAGAATACAATAAACCAAATGCCTTCATATGTTTTGGCCCACACTGGTTAAACAAAGTCAATAAGATCTTCCCGGTTGGGAAAAATGCAAAAAAAAAATAAAAATCTTTACACCGAGTTCTTTAGATCGGTAGGGCAGGCCTTTACTTACACAAAGTTCTTCAGCTTGGTAAGGCTGATACCCGTTACTATATTCCTTAATGACCCACGCTAGTGAGGCGCACTGTAAGACCTTATCGGCTGGGATGATTATATTCTATAAAAAATTAAAATACCGAAGACCGGATACTAAATTATCCGACCAGGTCCACATTACAAAGAAAAACAAACACAAAATCGCGTCGTCTTAGTACAACGAAAAAATCACGAATGCGATAACAATTTCATTGGGCCCGAGTGCCCACACATATCCATATCATTGTCACCATTACAGACGCAAATCCATCCAACGCGTCATATTACACACGAAAATCGGGTACCGAATTGCCCAACCAGGTGAACCAGGCCCCAATCATATAACATTTTCATATAGTTGACTATCCACACAGTCGACTCAACTCGTCAGAACAAAAAACATGATTAACGAAAGGCCAAAGTCTAAACACGATCCGCAAAATGTCCACGGGTCACAAAGCACCCGACCAACATCGATACATTATTTATCACATCCAAATTTATTATAAATGCGACTTTAGAACAGTTCTAATCAGAACATGTCCTAAAGTTCGGGGCCTCTTGTTGATACCCAATTTGGCCTCGCCTATTAAAGTATTACATGTGGATATGTATCAACTATTGTATTTTAGGGCCAAAATATAAACACCGCTTGTAATAATAACGGGCCCACAAAAAACATATATATACATATATATATACCCCGATGATGGACATCATCGAGAGAGGTCTGAGGGGCTATTATTATCTTTCTCTTTGATATGGGATATTATATACACAAGGCTAAACCGGTCTGCCCAGCCGGTCGAGAAGATTAAATCGAGAGGAAAGCTAAGCTAAAAGGCGGGAGGATCGATCATTTAGATAATCGACCGGGCAGATAGTCGACCAAATCCATCGCTCGATTAGATAAGTGATCGAGCAACCTCGTCGACCTCATTAGGTCGATCGCTTCGAGGACTTAACAGTTGGCCTAGTCACAGGCGCGTGTAGGAACCTCTAACCGAATCTCAGGAGAATATTTACCCCATGTGCAGGGGGACACGTGTCGAGAATACATTGGTGGATATCGATAACCACCTCTGACAGCTCCCCAACACCCCCGCGCCACCTCTGACATGTGCGTGGCGTGTCAGAGTACGGACGGGCAGCTTGGGCAGCTAACTCATTCTTATCCGGGCAGCTATTAGGGCAGGTATCTCACCCCTATATAAGGGGGGTGAGCCTTTCTCCCTTAAGACATTCTATTCATTCTTCACTTCAGTATACTCATACACATACTGACTTAAGCATCGGAGGCTCTTCACCGGACACAACCCACAGTGTGAGAGTTACTTGCAGGTTTCCGACGTTATACCGGCAAGGACAAAGATCGATCAACTCCAAACCGGACCAGGACGCTCACACTTGCATTATTGGCGCCGTCTGTGGGGACTTTCGTTAAAAAGTTGTGTTTGAAGCTCAGCTATGGCGGACGGAATTCCCAAAAACTTGCAGTCAACAATCGACGAGGCTTGGACGACGACCAGGCCGATGGGGCAAGGCCCTCTTCCGGGTTTTTTCGGCCCATCGCAGACACCGATCACTCCCACACCTATCCTTTAAGGTGTGGGAGTGACGACGGCGATTCCCGGATGAGATGCCGGCTCCAGTCGGGCTCAGGAGGCTCGCGCAGCAGCCGCGGCGATGATGCCACCGCCACCGCCACCGCCACCAAATCCTGTTAGAGGTATGCTGTAAAAGCTCCTATTTACAGATTCTATCAATTCCATTTTGATCTGGCCATCATGTTTTGGTCAAAGTACATATGCTTGCAGTTTATTTATTTATG